TTGGAAGACCTAGAAGAAATTTTTCTTTTCAAAAAGGTTGGTTAGATCTTCCCTTAACATGACTCTAATGAGAAAAGTAGTTTTGTCGTATTGGAAGTCACTAAATTTTTTGCACCTTAGGTTACTTAGGAGTTCAGCATTTTTGTCTTTAAGGTGAGAGGGATCTCCTATGAAATGTAGGAAAATGGTCAAGATTAGTGTTGAAACTGCATCTTGAATGGTATCTCCTAAGTCATCTAAAATAGGTAATCCATCCTCATGGTTTTTATGGAATTAAGGATTTCGAGTTGTTGTTGGACAATGAGATGGTAATCCTACCATCGTTTCGTTGGCCGGAGGAGCTAGCTATAAGGAGTTCAGCTATAGCTCGGTCGGGGTTCTAGTTTGGGTTTTGCGAGCATTAGTCGCCAGATCACTTTTTAAAGCAAGCTCATAATGTTATATTCTGATAATCCATCTATTTTCCATTCATAGACGTAAAAGGCATTAAATCTTGGTTGGGCAAGCTTGTTTAGCATTTCGCCTATGTCAAGAGCGATGATCATAGGTAAGAAATTTTTTCAATAAAGTTTATTAACTTCGAGGAAAACTTCTTCATTAGAGTTTTGATCTAGCACATTGACACTATGGGATTGGGGTGTCTCATTTACATCTTGTCTAGAGGTTCCTATATTAGAAGATATATCTTGCTAATTTAATCTCTAATAGCTTTCGAAATTCAAGTTTATTATTTTGTATTTGCTCGTTGACTTGTTCTAGAAACCTAAAAAGGTTTTAAAACTAAATTTTTGAGTTTCTTGTCTATAGTTTTTGTTCTAACAAAGGAAACAATTGGTTTTGGGATAGGTGAAACAACTAATTTTTGTATATGAGTTTCTATCCTAACTAATTGTTTTCCTATGGTTTGGAGGTTGGTGTTTGTATGATTTTTCTATTGAGCAATATTTTTTATGTTGATAGAATCACCATCCTTAACTATCTTATAAGAGCATGCTTCTATCTTACCTTCTCCATGGGAAAAGGTACGTTTTCCGGGAGAAGGATGTTCAAACTATATGGTCTTTCCTTCTACTTCCCATATTGAGGTTTTATTCCTAGTGGTAACAGGATTCGGAGTTTTTATGAAAGGATAAGAAATATTGGTTTCAAAAACATATAATTCAAACTAATCAAAGAGCAAAATATGAACTTCATACAAGTTGACAAATTCATAAAATTTATTTTGTATTTCTTTCTTGTTATCTAGAAAATTTTTAAAAAACTAAATTCTTTTCTTTGAAATATGTTTTGCATAAAAATCATAATGCGAGTATTTTTGGTCTACTTCAAAATCATCCTTTTTAATAACATTACACTCATTAGCAATGTTTTTAGTAATAGCTGAAACAAGTAAAAGATTCAAGTGGAGAATCTTCCCGGTTTGAATGCCCGGGTTTAGGAATATTTGTACAATAGTCAACATTTTGTAGAACATGGTTAGGTATATCAAAAGTAGAATACCTATGATGCATATAAAGAGATGGTAGACTCGTTCTAAGTTTGTATCTCTTCTACCATTCGATTTGTGAAAGGGTAGGTTAATGACAAAGGGAATCTTTGAAATTCTACCTAAGTCAAAGGTTTCGAGCTGGAGGCTACATCGGAGAATCTACGAATGGTAAATCTTCTATCTAAAGAAAGTCTCACACTCTTATCTACCTGTTGGGTGATAGACCTAATTTGTGTATTTAGTTTTGGAATTTTTGGAATGGATAAAGATCATGATTTATTTATTCCCTCTAAGATCCATTCTTCTAGTAAGATAATGTCTTTCCACCTGATATGTCTAGAAATGATAGTATTGGATTTGGTTAAATCTGTTTGCAAAAAGAGTGTTTCTCCTTTGGTGGACTCGACTTTTGTGTTTTGAGGCAAAGGCGGAGGTCATAGCTTTGTATTGGACTTTTGAGATTAATGCGACTAGGATTGATCCTTCCATTATATTATAGTTATGAGTTTTGATTTGTAAAACTAAGGATTCCGGGAATGTTTTTATCATTTAAGAAAAGCTGTGAAGTTTGGGTAATGATCAAAAGATATTAATGCACTACATAGACTAGATTCTATAGAGCTAAGCAAAGAATCCTAGATGCTAGTAAACTTGTTGTCTCTAAGCATAGCTAGGATTCAAGTATTTAATCCTTCTTTTGTAAGTGGTTTAATTCCCACTTGGACTAAACCTATATGGATGTACTTAAAAATTTTCTCTCTGTGCTTTTGTAAAGATTTTGAAGAAAGGAGATGGATGATCTCAAAAGGTTTTGAAAGTTGAATATCCCTTTCTTCGATTTTGATAATAAAATCAGTTTTAAATAGGTTATACTTGGAGGTTTTATAAATCTCATCCTTATGTATTTTGAGATTTTCCCAGTTATCAATTTGTTCTTCAAAATCATCTATATCATACTCCACACTACTTATAATTTTCCGAGATTCCGATGTTTCGAAGCGGAAGAGTTTGAGAAGGAGGTAGATGTACAGAATATGGAGTCCATCTCTAGAATATGTTTTGTAATAGAGATACGCAAGTTATGAAGGTGATAAAAAATATATTTACTACCGCTCTTAGGACTTACTACTGGGATCACCAACTCAATTGTCTATACCTTTGTTACTAGCAAGATCTAAGTATGAACAAGAAAACATAAACATACAATCTTCCTAATAAAAGCCCCTACAAAAGGTAGGTATATATATATAATCTTACATATTAAACTACAAACCAAAGATTATCATTTATATTTCACATTTCATCTTGCTCGATTATGTCAAGAACCATGTCCTCTAGTTTGCTCGATAAGATATAAATATTTGATTGCATTTAATGATTGTTAGGTCAAAATCAAAAAAGATAAAAATAGTTATGTAGTTATGTAATAATTTATGTAACTTATAGCAAATGAATTTCTTAAAATAAAGGGATTCAAGAATCGTGGATCAAACCTTTCTCAACCTTTTTTAGGATTCAAAAAAATTGGGTAATGTAACTATTTGAAAGGATAGCTATCAATATGAAAAAAAGAACAAAAATATAAGATGTTTTATAGAACATTTCTTTATTGTTTAGAATAAATATACTCTAAATCTAAATCCAATGCCATATTTTTTATATATAAATATTTTCATATTTTAAAAATATTATATTTATTAGAAATACTATTAATATTAAGTCGATTATTTTTAAACTACATTGAAGTAGATTTATATTTAATATATTGAATAAACAAATTAATGAATTCATATCATATAAATTGTATACAAAAATTTATTTACGGTAATGTTAGATCAAATTCGAATCAAGATTGAATTCATTGACAATCCTATATATAGCTGAATAACTAATGACACTTCTATTAGGTCACTAATTGCAAATGCTAAAGAAAGTATCGAGGTCCAAGTATCCTCTAATCTCTACTAGTGTCATGTTAAAAGATAAATTAGGTTGCAATGTAAACACAAAACAAAGTATGACTTTAAACTTATATTTAACACTATTATTCTATAATAAGAAACAAAAACTATCTTACTTTCTTAGCTAATTTGACTTCCGGACCTAGATTCAAACAACCAATAAGAAGTTGGACAATAGTGGTAGTAGCTCTAACAAAAAAAAATACTATAACAAACATCGAGCTCTTACAATAGAAATTTATTGTTGTTAAAGAAGTAAATAAGGGTAAGCAAACAATTAAATGGTTCATTTTTTTACAAATTTATTTTAGTTTATGATTAATCAAATTAAGAAAAACCAAAACCAAAATCAAACTAAAATAAATTCATTAAGTTTGATTTGAAATCGAATTATTTCGGTTTGATTTCGAAAAATTTTAGTTTAACCAAAACAAATTTTCTATGACATTTATAAATATTGTTATTTTGATTCCTCATTGGCACCACAATAATGAAATGATAAATATCTTGGTCATAGTTGACAATTGCGTTAGGTATATATAAAATATATGCTCTAACAAACAATTTACATGATTGTAATTGGATGTGAAACACCGTGATGTCTACAGTATGATGATAAATCCAAATACTTTTCTCAATTCAATGGTCAAAACCATGTAAATCACTAACATCTATACTTTATTAGGTTCCCAAATAGTGGCTGGTTTAAGATAATATTGCCCTGGTTCCTTTGAAACTTCCCACAATTTGTGTGTTGTAGAGACACATCTCCTAGTTGAATTTTTTGAACATCCTCGGTCTCAATTTTGTTCATAATGTTCTTGAAATCAAAATTAGAATTGTAATTATCATCACTCAAGAGTTGGGAAATTGAACCTAGGTATTCCAATTCCAACGAGATAAGAAAACAAACATGCCCTTAGAAATTTCATCGTTTGTTGCTCACTAGCATCATTAAGGGGGTAACATCTAAATGGTCATGTATTGTATTTTTTATTTTCGCCTCAAAATATCTTATTACTTGCATCTTCTTATAAATTCTATATAGGATCCAATCATCTAACCGAAACATAAAATACAAAAGTCATGGTGAAATAAAAAAAAAGCAAAACAAATTCTAGGGAATTATAGAGTAATTAATTACAATTAGATTATAAGAAGAAGAAGAAGAAAACAAAAGAAATAAAAGAAGCTTACTCTCATGGATCCTTTTGGATTGTTGGCTTGTTTTCTTGATTCATTTAAGCCGTACTCATGCATAATACAATCGGTGTCGGTACCACTTTGGTGGCTTGCCCTTATAAAAAACCGAGCTTTCTTGACACCCATATATTTAGACCACTATGGATTGCCTAATTTGTGCCCATGGCATTCCAATACCCAAACATGATTGCTCTATTAGGCCTCACTCTATTTGGGTACTTATGGTCATGAGGGGTAAAAAAGAAGATAGAAAGATGGGTGGTGACCGACTGATTAGCGAGGATTGGGTGGTTTGGTGGTGACCGTATTCTTGTGATGTTGAGGCGAAGCCCGAAAGAGAAGAAGGAATGAAGGATAGAGAGGTGCGGTTGAAAAGTAAAGTTAGGATTAGGGAGTTAGGAACTTTTTTTTTTACTTTCAATAATTTCATTTTTAAAAAAAAACAAACAAACAAACCAAGTAGAAATAATTTTAATATTTTTCTTTGGTTTTTACTTTTATAAATTTAAATTCAAAATCAAACCAAAACTACATTATTTGGTTCAATTCGGTTTGAGTTTTTGGTTAACCAAAATTATGCTCACCCCTAGAAGTAAACACTACAAGAATTAAACCAACGAATGCCTAGTGAAGATGAGAACACCTTCGGTCTTCATATTTGCAATAGACTTCATCATTGTATCTTATTTGGTTTATGATGTGTGTGTATATATATATATATATATATATATATATATATAGAAGAAGCTTGATAAATTAACGCTCTTCTAAAAATTTAAGATAAATTATAAGTTCTTAGTATTTTATCATAATCTAAGTTAATATAATAAGATAAAATATCTTTATTAATTACTAGATGCCATTTACATGACCAAATAATATCCCTTCTATTATGCAAGTCAAACCATTAATGACTACTAGTTCATAAACATAGTATGCAATTCCTCTCTTATAAAAATAACAAAAGTCAGCATATGTTTTTCTTTAAAATTTTCAACCAATAAATACATATATTATCTTACATATTAAAATACCAACCAAACATTATCATTAATGTCTCACAATTCATCTTACTCGTAAAACTTCTTTAGTTTGCTTGATTATGTCAAGAACCATGTCTTCTTGTTTGCTCAATAGAATATATAAATATTTGATTGCATTTAATGGTTGTTAGGTCAAAAGCAAAATAGATAAAATAATAATAATAATAATAATGTAGTTATGTAATTATTTACCTAACTTATAATAAATAAATATCTTAAATATATAGCGGTTCAAGGATCGTGAATCAAATCTTTCCCAAGCTTTCATAGGATTCAAAATGGGTTGAAACATGTAACTAGGTCATGATATTGATTTGGTGCGCAAATAACATCTTCACGTAAAGTTGTCATAAATAAAACATAAGCAACTTTAAATTAAACCTATTCTCTATATTTAAAATTCAAATAATACTAGTCCAACTCGTGTAATATAAATTAACGAAAGATTATGCATGTAAGAAGGTCATGAATTAAAATGAAAGAAAACACACGTCCCCTAGTTCTAATCCACAACTTTATATCTCGTGAATTTTCAATCGAAAAATCATACAAAATCAAATTGTCAAGAAGGTGCTATCCTTCCCTATAGCTTCGACATCATTCTAAATTCCTAAAGGGTGACAACCATTGCAATGCTTCCCAATTATGAATAGCTTTTTCCATGAATTATCATTCTATAGTACCCGTAAATCAAAGTTCCAATTGGCCAAATGATAGTACTTACGTAAGAACATAACAAGTGAATCTTTGTACTCCATCATTTTACAAAATTTAGAACCAACACTATCTTATAATTGTTAAGGTCTTGATGGAAGCCAAAGCTAAAAACTATATTAGGATATGTTGTTGGAGATATTGTACGATCAATAGGGAATAATCAATAATGACTTCTTACCGGATTCCATAGAATTACTTGCGTGTGGCCATCATAAAATAGATGTGTTAAGACAAACCAAACCATTAATAGAATCCACAGTATTTGCTATGGAATCCAAACAACTCGTATGTTTCTTCGTCATGGAGGTTTGCTTCATTACCAAGCAATGATACTTTATATTTTTATTATTATTTTCTTTGTGATGCAACTTAAGAAGGAGAGAAAGATTCACTTTTGACACGTGATGGAGATGGGTGATAATAGAATTAGGGCTTGAGATTAAAGCTAGCTAGTGTTTTGATATAAATTTGCATTGAAACAAAGATTTTACTGGTGTGATTTTGATAGAATTTCTATGAGGATATCTTTTTGTAAAGAAGAGTCTTAATTTTTTTCTTTTCTTGCGAAAAATAATTCGGAGTTCGGAGGAATGAAAGGCAAAATTATCGTTATGATTTAATTTTTACAAGTTCATTGTATATACATATATATATAACTTAATCAAACCTAATTTTAAACCCTAATTGAAGTTGTTGAGAATAAATAGGGGATGGGCTGCCTTGAAAAGGACTCGAATATAGAATAGGACTTTTATGTAAATCTAAGTGATAGGCCCAAGAATAAAGAGAGCTTTGCCATGACGCCCCATGACAATAGAAGCTCTCGGCTACGTTGTTTAAATTTTCAGCGATTACGACTATTAGTTTTCATTAGAATGGGCCAAACAAGAAAATGATGAAGCATAAAACTAGAAAGGAACTTTTTTATTACAACTTATAAATTGCTAAAATATATATTTTGGTGTATTTGGGTTGTTTATTTTTCCTTTTCCGTCCTAAATCTTCTTTATACTTTTATATATATTTTTTAAAAAAATTACTTTAGAAATTAGAAATTGAGATTTTAAATAGAAAATATCAAAGTAATTCTTTTAAAGTCCAAAAAGATGTCTTCATAGTTAAAAGTTTGAAACTTCACTAGAATGTCCGGAGTCAAATCTTGGGGGGAGTGAAGGAAGTATTGAAACTAATGAGAAGAAAAAAAAATACAATTTTACTTTAAAAATTAGAAATTAAGATTTTAAACAGAAAATATTACGGTGTTTCTTTAACGTCAAAAAAAAAATGTCTTAGTTAAAAATTTGAAACTTTACTAGGATGTCTCAATTCAAATCTTGAGAAGAGTGATGAAAGTATTAAAGCTAATGAGAAGGAAAAAAATACTTTAAAAATTAGAAATTAAGATTTTAAATAGAAAATATTACAGTATTGCTTTTAAAGTCCGAAAAAAATGTCTACGTTTGGTAAACAGTCCATGTCACCTAACCTTTTAAACCCCTTTAGGCCTCCAACGAACGTACTATATTAATATCATCTATATTACTGGCACCAGAGAGCTTTCCTAACAACACGATACGCTGTCAAGATTTGCTCATCCAAAATAAATTATACACTCTTTAGCTACTAGCTAATCTATTCGTAGAGAAGTACTTGCAACCAGAATCGAAGATTTTGTTCATCTATTCTTTTGACCGACAAAAGCTGGTTCCTCAAGAATAAGATCACGATGTCATATAATAAGGATTTGTGAGATTATAGTTCCAGTCCTTCTTTACCTAACGTGTCTCCTCATTTGATCTTTGCGGACTATCAGTCATGTCCACAGTGCTGGTACAGTTTCAATTAGCAGTTGCATCCAGCTGACTACATGTATCATACCATGTGGGTTGAAAAAAGAAAAAAAAAAACAAAGGAAAAAAGAGAGCCATTACTCCATTTGCAGCTCCTACCTCAGTAGACTGCAACAACCATGATGTCCATTCAAAACTTTCTACGTACTACGTGTAAAGGATAGGACTCTTAGTCTCACACTTGGGAAACTAACCCTTCTCTACAAAGTTAACAGAGGAAGAGTTCAAAGAGACCTCATTATTATTCTTACTAGCTAGTTTTCGCTACCACAAAAAGAGCTCAGCTATAAAGAGGAGAGTTTAGTTTTCTCCTTTGATTTCTGTTCACAATGTAAGTCACGAGCACTACTGCTTTCATGACTTCTTCTATCAATGTAGTCTCTTTCATTGATCAAGCTTCTTACTGTTTGATTTTTACGTTGCAGTTGCTTTTTTGTGTTCATTTAACTGTTACTGTTTGCATTGCTTTGTCCTTTTTCTTTTGATAAATTGGAAGATTGAAGTAAGCGAAGCAAAGGGCAAAGGGCAAAAGGCAATCAATGGCAAGCAGATACAAGGTATCAGATGCGGAGTTTCAGCTACAAAAGAAGTAGCAAGAGAAAATGAAAATAAAACAGAAAAATACAACGGAACCAGCCATATAGACAGATCACAATTTAGCAAGATACCTCAGTCAAATGGAAACGTGATGCCCATAGAGTGACAAGGTGATGATTGGTTACTGGGAAATTAATTAGTGAGAAAGGAAAGGATAATAAAACAAGAGAAAAGAAGTTATCAAAAGTAATTTTCTTTTAAATTTTCGAATCAAGCTCTGATATACTTTTTCCTTTTCAGCAACATGAATTTGAATGGAAGTTTTAGAATTATATGTCAAAACACAAAAAAGAAATATAGGTTTGCGTATTATTCCTTAATTAGTTATATTTTTCTTTGCTTGCAAACTGAATTGTACGGTTATTGTTAGGACTGAAAAATATAGATGTGCGTATTATTCCTTAATTAGTTATATTTTCCCACTTCTTCACTGTTTTAATGACATTCTCATGCATTAATTTCCCAGTGGTAACGAATCCAGCAGTGGACATTGAAGATGGAAGTGAATGTTCTTTCAGGTAAGAGAGAAACCACGCAATTCCACCCCCCCCCCCCCCCCCCCTTCTCTATTTGGCACAATTTGTATGTTTTTCATATCGATATACCACCATGAAGCACTCTAGACGTTGGGCTAACACAACATATATACATTCCTGCACGAATATTGGATTCTGAAACCGAGATTATTTGCTTTTGTGAGACTTCTTTAATGGTAAACATGCATGGAAATGGTTTAAGCAAATTGTGTCATTGTGTGATTATCCCTGTACCATTCCCAACAAGAGTATCATAGTTGCTGTTGCAGCAGTAGTAATTGTTGTTGGTTTTTTTTTTTTTTTTTTTTTTTTTTTCCAAAAAAGCGAAAAGAACTAAGAATAAAAAAGGAAAATGTAGGTCAAAAGTGTTCGATTATAGTTTATTGGGGCAGAAAGCCAGAAACCGAATCTCGTTTAAAGGAGACAAAGTTAACTATTCTCAATCAAAAACCCAGGAAAGCAAACCACAAATAATAATAATAATACTAATAAAATAAATCTGTTTTAAATTAAAAGTGTTTTCTTCTCAAAAATCTATTTTGGGCTTAGAATATATATATATATTTTCCATTTAATGATCTGTCTGTGTTTGATTAGAGGTTATAGTAAAAGATCAGTTAAAAATGGGCTCCAAAGTTTTATTAAAAAAAAAAAAATCACTATCATAAACAACTATATATATATATATATTGATTCATCGGCAGCTGATGCACTAATTAAAAAAAACAAGCTATAAATCAGTCCTTTTTGATTTTTTTTTATAAAAACAAGCATTCGATACTTCGAGAAATGAATTAATTAGCTATTTTATTTTAAAAAACTAATTATTTTATTATTGTTTAATTTCTTTTGATTTTTTTTAAAAAAATAGAAAAAAATAAAAAATATGAAAAGATTAATGTGAAAAGAATTTATTTTATTAGATAAAAAAATTAAATTAGTCACGTGTTGAACTAATTTACAATTACTCCTAAAAAACAGAGCAATTAGTATTTGGGAAATAAAGTTCTGGATTATGAGCTTGATAGCTTCGATCAGAGCTAGTACGAGCCCAACAATGGGCTAAACAGCCTATACCTTAAAAGCCCAACAATGAGCAAGCTAATATATAACAGAAGCTCCAGCCATGCCAATAGACATAAATTTTTGGACAAACTATACTTTTACCCCCATAGATTCATCAAAGTCGCGTCCCACTTCTACCCCCTTGTTTAAAATTACCCAAAGTTACCTGCTAGTTTCTAAAAAGTTTCAATTTCACCTTTTGCTATGAAATAATTATAAGAAATAACTGACTTTTTATATTTTTTGTATCTCTCATTTTTTTTTCTGCTTAAATCCCCTTTATATATATATATATATATATATATAAACAATTAATAACATTTTTGGAAAAAGTTTAAGAACAAGTAGATTAAGGGTCATAGGATAATGAGAAGGATAATATTGTGAAATTTATACCGGAAAGGAACAAATGAAACATTAATAAACTTATGAGGGGTAAAAATGAAGTTTACTTACCCTATAATTTTCTTTTGGTATAAAGTTTAAAACCCCAAAGCATAGATAGACAAATACTTGGTTTATAGCCGAAGTTCTCATATTCGAACTCCAAAAGGGAAAGGGACCCGAAAAAGGAGACAGTAACGTCCTTATGGAGTCCCAGTACCTGTTGAGCCTTTAATGGGGGAAAAAAAGCATGGAAAGGACTAATAAGAAAAAGAACTACCATTTTAACAGAAGAGAGATGCAATGAAAAAAAATAAAAAAATTACGATCAATAAACAAGTGAAGAAAAAAAGGACACTTTCTGTCCCAAATAGATTATCTGTCTCAAAATATTTGTAACATCAACATTTAAAATAATATATTTTTCTAAAATACTACTAATTACTAAAAAAAACAATTTTTTTCTTCAATTTTCTATTATTTACTAAAAAAAATCAATTTCTTTATATGTTTCTTTTATACATATAAAGACATTTACCATAAATATTTCAATGTTTTTTTACATGAAAAATATTTATTTTTAAAAATACTTTACTGCATGTAGAAATTTTGAATGTAAAATATTTTTATTAGTATACTGTTTTTTCATAATTTTTTAAATTTAATTGTTAATTAACTTAATGATTTTTTTTATTTACGACCTTATTTTTTGATAAATTTTCTTTTTAAATTAATAATTATTTCATCTAATGCATTATTCAATTTGATAACTAATAATTTTAACAAAAAGAGTCTTATAGAAAAATATAAACAAAAAATATTAATATAATATAATAATTAATAATTTTCTTAAATTGTATGAAAAGCTAGACTAAACAAATGATGTTTTTGGTAGGTTGCTCAAGCAACGATAAGACTTTCCTTCTATTAATACTCATTGAGTTGGTGTGCATATTTTCTTAGCTCGCTTTAATTTTAATGGTACTCAACTTGTAATATAAATTACTTGATAAATTAGCATTTCCTAAGATTCGAAAGCTTGGATAATAAAATATGAAGCAATTAATCCTTCTTGCTATCTTAGCTTAGTCTTCGGAGAAATGTGATAATGTGATACTTGACGACTAAAAAAACATGTATTAAACTAGTTTGGAACTAGATACTGAAGAGTGTGAAATTGAAGGTTTTGATTTGAATCTTTTCATGCACAAAAAACAAAGATAATATTATTTTTATTGTACTTCTTCCGTGCTAAGAAGATAAATTCATTCTCGAAGAAAGAAAAACAAGCTACGATAATTCTCCACCTAATGGCTATTGATTGAGACCTAAGCAGATTTTGAGGGTTAGAAAGGGTTTCTAGGAGGACCTAAAACACCTACTTGGTTCCTTTTGACACTCTTGCTACTTGTTACCCGGTTTTGTTTTTACTTGGCCAAACATAAGTTTCTATAAACCTATAATTCTATAACATGCTAAGGTGTTATCTAATGATTAAATTTCATTAAATTCGCTGAAAAATACAATAAAACGGCTATGAATTAGTCCAACTTAGCACAACTAGCTACAACCGGATGTGAAATTTGTCTAACATGTGGTACGATAATTTGGCAAGAAAATACCATTTTCCTTCAAAATGCAATAATGGAGTGATAACAAGTATCCTTAATTTTTATGTCGTAAACGGACAAGCGCAAAGCCATGCATTTCAGAAGATGACAAGAAAAGGCTTTCTGGACAGGGCACAACCTTAGAGCTAAATGGAATGGAAAAGGACTTGTTTGATGAACCCTAAATGATCCAAACAATGACGAATGAAGAAAGTATTAGGTATGATAGGAGTTGTATTCCATTCTTTCACAATAAATAAATAATATGAGACCTATTATAATAGCAATTCATAATTCTTATATTTTTATGAGAAAGACTTATCAACTAATGAGCTTCATGTTCTAAATTAACTATATTTTCGACAAGAAATCCTTCTCTTTTTTTTTTTTTTAACACTTTTTTTATTGAAGAAGAAATCTCTAAGTAGTTCATTTGAAGATCCTTTGTATCACACATAACTAACATTCTTCAATTAATTTCCCTCAAAAACCAATTCCTGGATTTTTATATTTTAAGTAAAAAAAATTCTGCAAATATTTAAAAATTTAACTATTTGTGCTTGTTAAAAAATTAAATAAGAAGTTCACTATTTGCATGTTGTTTCATATATCCAACTTCGGGTAGGAACTTCATCTTGGTAGATAAACAGGTATAGATGGAAGGAAAGTGAGAAGGCTAAGGACAATGCTGAGAAAATTAAAGATGAACCTAAAGCATGAAGGGTACAAATTAAGAAACTAGTCATTTAAGATCTGGTAGTTTAATATGAGCTGTGTCCTTAATTTCTTGGAAAACAATTGAAAAAACTTTAATTGTTTCAAGGATCTAGTTAGTTATTAATGTTGATGGTTACACAATTAATATGGAACAGCACCATAACTTGCTTATTTTAAGCATGTTCTTAATTGCTTTTATACAATTAGTAACTTTGACGACAAGAGGGTCTTTACAAAAATATCTCACAAGTCAATTACCCAAATAAATAAATAAATACTTTATGCATAATATATATATATATATATATATATATATATATATATATATATATATATATATATATATATATATGAAATAGAAATTATTAGAGAGTAATAAAAAAACATTTCTAAAGCCTCACTTAACATTCCTAGAGCTTATTCTAGGTTAGACCTTTAGATTGTAAGGATTTTTAAACGTAAAATTATAACCTTGATGACCAAGTGATCACGAATTCAAATCTCATCATCCGTATTTTTATTTTTTAATTATTCACAAAATGTATTATATCTAGAGTCTCACTTAATAGTATAACATCACTCAACAGTTTAAGTTTGAGTTGACATGATTTTTTTAATAGAAATTGTGTCCAACTATTAAACTAATTCCAATATTCTTAATCAAATTAATTAAATTAAATTTTAAAAAATGACATTACCTATGTGGTATCACATCATAAAAAAAGAAAAAAGGAAAAAAATCTTCAAAATTCTAACAAAAAAAAAAATTACTTAAACCTTACCCAAATACGTAA